GTGAAGGCAGGAGCGTTGTAATTATCCAGGCTAAAATGAACTGGTTCACGAGGCCTGGCGTAAACTGTCAGAGTTTGTTCATAGTACGAAATCTCGGCTTTTTCTCGTTCTAACCAGTCGTTACCCAGTATTCCTACTCCAGGGATGGGTAGGTCATTTTTGCTGACTTGGCATCTTACTGGGGTGCCGAAAACTTTTAATTCAACGGTGCCCAGGGTTTCTACTGGGTCACCGCTAATTCCTCTTGCAATTAATCGATTTGTTGCGTCGATGGAGGTTCCTGGTTGGAGTGCAGATTGATTGATTATAGTCACATCTCCACCAGTATCGATGATGAAGCGCTGGTATTTGCCCAAAAGAGATGGGCAAGTCGTTTCGATTTTTGGTCCACTACATACGGCTAAAATTTAGGACTCATGGCCTTCACGCTTGATAATAAACGGAATGGGTTTCGTAGGGTTGCTGCGGAGTACTAGAGTGTACCAGTAGAAAGAGATATTTGCCTGTTCTTTGGCCAAGAAGTCGTTACCAAGGATGGCTAAATAGCCACCTAGCCGTTGCGGCACAACTCTAAATGGAACGATTTTATCGAAGATGTTTAACGTGATAAATCCGATGACTGGAAGGACATTTGTTCCGATCCCCCCCACTTGTCCCATGTCCTTGAATAAGAAGGTGGTGTCATTTGGAAGAGCTTCTACACTGATGAAATTGTAATTTGCTCCGGAATCGATGAGGATCTCGCACCTGTTGCCGGCGAGTTGGGTGTTTTTCACCGTGATGACAGGTCCTCGGCCGGTTACAAGTACGATATCCTCTATCGCTTCAAGAGGCGGTAGGCTCCTGCAGTTATTTGTTGAGGCGCTTGGGGCGGGCTCGTCATTGCCTCGTTCTGGCGAGCGCCCGTCAAGTTTAAAGAAGGCTCGAGAGGATCTTCATCCTTGTTGAGTGTTTTCCTCGGGCAACCTGGACAATTGCATATTTCAGAACTCTTTAAGTGTCGTTCGATCTGCACTGGCGAAGCTTCCGGGGCCGTTGGAAGGGAGGGGTTGGGTTGGACAGGCGGTTGTGATTGGGGAGTTGTGTAGAGAACTCCTGGATAATTTTGTCGGTAAGGTCTATTTTGATTTGGGTAGAACTGAGGGTTAAAAGGTTGAAAAGGTTTTTGGCGATATGGATAAGGACGAAAAGGATTATCTGAAGGATTTTGAAACCGTTGGCCCTGGAAGTGGTTTTGGTTGCTGAAATTATTTGGAATTGTTGGGTTTCCTGCCGTGAATGCGAAAGCTAAAGGTTCTTCACAATCTGACACTTCACAGTTCGAGTCACCACACGGGGGTAGCCCGTAGTAGCCTGGATTAGCGTATTCTGAAGGTGTATGGTACGGGTCATTGACTTTTACCTCCATCCTGTCGTACTCAGCCATAGGCTGGGCAGAATAAGCGAAAGCAGCTGGCTTGGGTGCCACGAAGAGTTCTGTCTCCAATGGTTTGGTCCATGGATGTCCTTGGGCAGGAACCGGTGGAGCATACCGGGGTTATGGATTACCTTGGAAATATCCACGCGATCCATTGTTTTGAGTAGGTGGGATGTAACCTCGTTGGGTATTTGGATGATGCGGCTTCGGGTGTTGGGTCCTCATATTATTATCGTATTTCAGGACCTGTTCCTGAATTGCTTCGAACAAGGCAGATAGAGTGTCGTGTTGCTGAGTAGAGGCCAAGCATTTGAGGTAATCCGGAAGTGAGTCAAAAAATGCGTCCACCGCGAGCCGATGGGCTTGGTTGGTGATCGAAGCTTGGTCAGCTTCTGGAACGGCAGCTTGTATTTTCCGGAGGATGGACCGGAGCCGATAGTAGTAGCTCTCCACCGCTTCGTAAGTACCTCTTTGGATAGAAGTTAATTTACCCAGGTAGAGGCGCAGTGGGTCCCCCAATCGGAAGTGACTTCTAAGAACGTTGATAAGTTCTTGGACAGTTCGTATTTCCATATCCTCTACGACGTTTCTCGCACGACCCTTCAATTTACGTAGAATTCTCCCAATGAAAGGTTGTTGGTTGGTCTCTGGAATCATGTGGAGCCATTCTCTCAAACGACGATCGAATTCCTCGTAGCTCACGTCCCCATCCCCGGTAAAGGTTGGTAGTGATTCCTCCATTTCGCGAGTAAGGTGATAGTAATCCTTTTCAACTTCATCATGAATGGTGTCAAATAATCGGATTCCGTGTTGGGCGGCTAAACGAGCTTGTGCTTCTATTCTGGCTTGTTCCTGAGCTGCTTCTGCGTCTGCTCGTGCTCGTTCTTCTACAGCTCTGCGTGCGGCTTCTGCAGCTCTGCGTGCTTCTTCCGCAGCTCGTTCTTCGACGGACACCATAGTTGTGTTGTTTATTGAACTTTAGATTATCGGGATTCAGTCAATAGGGTCGACCGTGGGTTATTCACTCGGTACTTCCTCTTCTTTCTCGATAGGGGGAATAGTGACGTCGTCCCGACGATAGTTCAATAGTCTATAGAAATTAAATCGTAGTAAGTGTTGTTTATGGTGACTGGTTCGAATCATTATTTTTGATAACTTGAGATTTCGATGTATTATTTGCACTGCGCGAGACAGGAGCACGGTTCGCGAGCGTAGATTTCTCCTTCGGAGTAACGTCTATGTTGATGGGTTCTTTATTCACAAAAGTGGGATCCTCCCAGTAACGGGAGTCAATTAAAGGTGGGTGATATACCGTACCGTCCAGGTATTCAAAATAGCACTTACGAATTTGATATTTATACCCGCCTCGTTTGCGATGAACCATCAGCACTACTAATGATTATGATCAAGTGATTGTGTTTTATCCAATCACTAGATGCTAAAACGAACAATTTGCCGTCCGACTTTTGATCGAACGAGAGATTCACGTTGCTAAGTCAGCAGCGAGAATTCGAGAACGATTTTCGGACTGGCAAAGGATTCATAATCAAAAATTCACGAGGAGTAGGTAGTCGCGCAAACGAAACGATAAGTTTATTTGATTGCAATAGAATACATGCACAGGCAAATATATGCATCTACATACACAACAACAAAAATAAAATTTTCTACCTAAAAAAAAAAAAAAAAATTCTTGTATTAAAAAAATTTTTTTGACCCAAGAATTTATATTCCTAATAATAATCAAAAATATATTTTCTTGTCTGAAAAATTGGCCAAATTGATGACATGAAAGTTAGCAATCATTTTACCAATTTTTAATTTTTTTTTTTAACAATTAAAGTAGCTCAAAACCAAGTACAATTGATTGAGGCTGTTATGTCCGAAATAATAAATAATTTTCTATAGCGTGGTTCCGAGAGATAAAGAGGCTCGAACACAACACGTTGATTTTTCCTTACAGAAATCTGTAAGGATTTTATATTTTTGTGAGTTCGCGAACACAACCCGAATGGGCTCTCGAACTTTTGACAGGAAAGATGATGTAAATTTTTGAGGAATTGGACACTTACACTAATAAAATTAAAACAATTTATAATTCGTGTTTTCACTGTTATATTGTACTTAGTACACAATTTCACTTAGTTCTAAATTTTACAAAATATAGAGTTCGGAACCGGAGTAGCGACTCCGGCAAACAATCACTATGTTCGCCGTTAAAATATAGTTTATAAATTTTTATAAGGAACCGTATCACTCAATACAACGGGGCTCTTGATACAAACTCAAGGGCGCTCTAACGCGTAAGGAGAAAATATAATTTTAGGAAATCGAAAAGGTAACCGGGGAATATTTACATAAATTTCATGCCGATACGTGTCGAGGTATCGGACCCACTCGGGTTCAACAAGAATAACTGCTTCTTGTTTCAAATTGAACTGAACACCGGTCCGCTCTTTCTTAGAGTTTTTAAAGACTCGGTAAATCGCGACTCCGGAAGGGAGTCCGATTTTCTGATTGGTCAGGAAGGTAATTTTTTTTGTAAGACGTGGCGGCGTCTAAACCGCGTAGCGTCTGTAATGAGTGAAGCGGTTCCAAATTTTGCAAGCACTTCACTTTGCAGCGCGAAAAAGGAGACTCTAGCTTATATCATGCAACGCTGGATATAACACATGTAATAAATTATTTATTAAATACGATTTTATTGAATGTTAATAAATATTTGTTAACAGTTAACAAATATTTATTAATGGTTAATAAGTAATTTATTAAGTACCATTTATTAACTGTTGATAAATATTTGTTAACTATTAATAAATAATTATTAACTATTAATAAATGTATTTTCCTCCCAAATAAATATTTATTGAATGTTAAACAATATTTATCAAAATTAAATAAATTAAGTAACTGTCTTCAAATAAATTAAATCTTATTAAAAGATTTGTTAAGAAAATAATAATTTTTGGACTTTTTTTTGAAAGCGGTCAACTTCTGGAACATTTACCCTATTACCTAGTGTAGTTTTTTTTTGAAATTTTTTAGTAACAAAAAATTTTTTTTAATTGACAGCTGTCGGCTAACTTCAATTTCGTCCATTTTTAGCGTTTAAGAGAACGCCAGAGTAAACCACTTTCGAGAATTTGACTCCAAATAAATGATATGGATAGTATTTTTATGTCGATTTTTTGTGATTATTAACGTTTTATATAAATTTATAATTCCATATAGTATTTGTTATAAACTGAAAATTTAGGCAAGATAGTGAGTAGTGATTCGACGTGAGATAAAAAATTTGTAGATTATAATTACTTTTTCGTTATTTCAATGATTGATTTTACTGTTCATTTTCAAGCCGAAAAGAATAATTAGAAAATTTATTGAGAAACACAACTCGGTGATGTTTCACTTGGTCCACCGGCCCCAAGAACATCCGTTGATAACTGAGGAAAATTCCCCGCAGTTTGTTATGGTTCCGATTGACTCCGAAAAATACAATAAGGACTCGGTAAAAATAAATTTCAGGCAGAAGATTAAAGAACAGGAAAAATATGGAATGTTTATTAATGACCACGATGACTATTTACGACACTTGAAGGATACTAAAAAGCTGTCGGTTGAATGGAAACAAGCGAACGGGCCGAGCTATAACTATAAGAAAAAGGATTTTAAAGAACTATTCAAACTAAATTTACCCTCGTCGATATTCGCTTCTTCTGTGAAAAAAAAAAAGTTAGTCTTTTGAATAAAGCTATCCCAGTTTTGGGATCGAGATTGGACTTTGATCCCAATGTAGAGGCTGCTATGGATGACGACTTTAACTATGATGATCCTGATAATCAGCTGGAAAATGATTTCGTGCAGTTGGCTAACGCAGATGGTTCTGGTGAATTCAATGAGCAAGATAGGTATGAGTGTATGATCCAGATGCTTCTTTGGAACTCTTTGATGTTTATGAAGAAGAGAGAGACGAAGTTGGCAGTTTAAATGGTCCTCGATATCAGTTTGAAGAAGAATAAGAAACTGCCGAGATTCACCGAGTATTCTATAAGCAGTAGTGTCATCAGAAGATATTAACAGATGGCACTTGTTGATGAAAGTTTGAAAAGGTAAAACTATCAAAGTAAATTATGTATCATTCGTTAGTTAAATAGTACTGAGTAATTAATTATATCGTTGTTTATGATAGATGTATGCAGCTTATGATGGAGAACAAATAGGAGCACTTGATGGTGAACAAATTGAAGAATATGTTGACAATAATTTAGAGTATATATTATAAATAGAAAAATCCTTTTGAAAACAACAAAAAGAATCTGTAAGTATTTAATTAAATCTTATTAATTTAAATAAGTTGATTCGTTAATGTAATATTATATATTTCAGGCAGTAAGCTTTTCAGAATTAATGAAATATCGCTTAAAAATAATTGAATCGTACTCAGACTTTGATGAAGAACTAGCATAAGTCGAAACAGACGAACGTCTAAGAAATAAATGGAACTGTTAAAGTATCTTGTCTACTCAGCAACATTTATAATCATCCTTAAATACTGGAAGAACCTAGAATTAAGAAATTTTTATTTTTTGATCACGATTTTTATTCTATACATCAGATAAGAAGTATATTAACATAACAACTATTATTACAGAGGGAAAAGAAAATAAAAATAAACAAACACACGGGAATACCCAATGGTGTATTGGGCGAGCAGTCTGGAAAACTGACAGCAAAAAATTAGGCTCTATTAGGTTTAGAAAACGAGAACGAAAGAAATCCATCTGCTGCTACGAGATCGATTGCAGAGATTAAAAAAAGTTATTATAGTATGATCAAAAAGAGAGTGAAGGATGAAAGAAGGAAGATTGAAAAAAAGAAAAAAAAACGTAAAAGGGAAATTGAAGAATTATCGAAAAATGGTTTTATTTTTATTTTTCATTCACTTGCTTACAGTATTATATATAAATAACTAACTATAAATACTTTTGTTAACAAAAAACAATTTAATATTAATTTAAAAGTCATATATGGCTGATTCTCTGTAAGGATGTTTTTTGCTGTCCCAGGCATTTTTTTATTAGAAAAATTGTTATTTTGTTACTAAAAAAAATTTGTTACGAAAGTAACAGAACATTTATATTTAGAGCATTGAAAACTGAAATGAAATAAATTTTGGTTTTTTTGCTATAAATTAGTAAACCACCGAAATAACAGTCTCCTAGGCTGTCTCATTCCCAAAATTGAAACTTTAAGATAAAATTTTAAGTTATTCGTCCATAATATAATTTGGTCCATAATGTTTATAAACTTTTATTAGTTAACTAACAATCTTCTTCAATAAAAAGTACCGAAAATTAATTTGTTTCATAAAATTCATTCAACCGAAGTTTGTCCCAGGCATTTTAAGAACAGTCTCCTGCCAGAAGTTCAAAGTAAAAAAAAAAAATTTATACCTTACCTTTTGTAAGGTTTATAAGGATCTAATTAGCCTTGAGTTAATAACTATAGGGCTGTTAGCACTTTATCGGCATTTTATTTAGTGTCAAAACACCATTTGTGCTAGAAATATGTGTCTGGGCCACTTAAAAACTCAGTCCTCTGGCAACTATTTTTATTTATAAGATTGGATCCATAAGTCTTAATATTATTCTAATTAATGTAAACATTCATTGAGAACTTGAAAAGTTGAATGCATTGAAATAGTTTGCTTGATTTTTCTCAATTTGATAAAAAAAAAAAAATAATTTTCTGGCAAACAGTACCCTTTCATGTTGTATGGAAAAAGATACAAAAATATCGAAAAAGCAAAAATTAATTCGGCTGTTTATTTATTAAGATTAAGCTAATAGTTTTGTAGCCCTTGTTAATTTTTTTTATAATAAAATCAAAAATAATTTGGTCGAACAATTTTGTACAGATTTAAGACGTCCTTACAGAGAATCACTGTAAAATAATTTGATTAATTAAAAATATTCTATACAGCTGACAAAAATATTTTTTTCTAAATTACCAATATTAAAAACCGTTTCTAAATTAATCTTTAACAAATAAAACTTGATGACAAAGTATCAGACGAACTCAGCATATCAGAATCAACGTCCACAAACTCAATCTTCTCCAGGGTATTTAAGGATTCTCGTGCAAAAAATTAAAAGAAAATATTCAAAAGCGTCAGAAAGTACAAAGTTATTTCATCAAGGTCGTGAACAAACTTCTAATCTCCTGGAGCATCAGCGAGTTTACGTTTAGAATTTAATGGCTCTGCCGACACTATAAAGCAGCCCGACTCTCTTTCTTGATCTCGCAATCTTGACTCTTAGTTTCACCTGATATTTTGAGAGACGTGAAGATTACATTGAGCAAAGTGCTCCGAACCTCACCAATGGTGTTGAGCAATACCTCATCGATGTTGTGCTGGTAGTCACTTGCAACATGCCTCCAGTGTTTGAATTACATATCGGGGTCACTCGTTTTCAGCATGTTCGTCATTGCTGCTGCGGTGGTTGCGTTTACGTATATCTTATTTATGGCATACTTGTCGATGAATTTTAGAGGAAAGAATTTGCTGGACCTGACTAGATTCTGAGTAAGAGCAAATGAATACTAGAGAGTGAGTACCAAGCTCAAAATACTACCTAGAAGTAAAAAAATTTTAATAAATCATTTGTTGGCATTAAAAATAATAAATAATGAAAAAACTCACGTTATTAAATTATGAAAATTTTCTTTGCCGTGAAAGTAAATATTAGGAATATCTGTAATCAAATAAAGTTTCCGGCTCGACTGATTCTCCAGCATGAAATTATATTCAGTAGCACGGATGACAAAATCAAAAAAACTTATCTGCCTGCCCAACTATCCTGTTATCATCATCTAAATAAGCCGCTGAGTTTGCGGGAGTGATCCACTCAACTATATCAAGCTTGTTTTCTCTAGCTAACAGCTTCCTCTATCAACCATTTTGTCAGTTCATTTTTATCTTTGAGAGACGCTGAGAGGCTATCCTTACTTCCTTACTTGTCTTATTATTACGCTTTGAGGTTATCAAACTGTCAATGTAATCTAGTTCCATTGATTCTAGGCTGGATTTCTTGGGCTTTTTTTTACAGGCTTCGAGGAACCAAAATCCATATCCAGGTCCACCCATCCACTGTTGCTTTTTTGGAAAATTAAAAAAGAAGTTTTTTGTCAATAGCATTTAAAAATGATATGTAACAATTTTTAGAAAAAAAAATTTTTATTATATTGAAAAGTATGATTTTTTGGTTTTAATAAATAAATTAACAATTGAAAACTGTCTGTGAGAACTTATTAAATTCCATACAAGCTGCGTTGAGAAGAGCACTGGCTCCATCACAAACAACTTCTTTTGGTAGTAAATTACCCAAACGTAACCATCTGTTGAGCCAAAATCCAATGGTACCAGAGTCATGTTGCTCTGAGAGCATTTGATAAATTGGTACAGTAGTATTTTTAAAATTTATGACTATTTGATATAAAAATATATGACTAGTTTTAATACCTTTACTGTCCATAAATTTTCTTATTAGACTACCAGTTGCGTCAATACATATTGAAGAATCTTTCGCAAAAATACGCCTATATTCTTTTTAGCAATGTAATTGTGATGGAGTTAAATAAAAGACCATAAAAGGTGTATCCCCTAGACTGATAACACAATCTCGATAAATCTATATACATCTCTAGTTTTGCCCATCCTGGAATATGGCACGGTGGTATGGTCCCCATTTACGAACCAGCAAATAGAAAGGGTAGAAAGAATTCAAAACAAACTCTGCAAAACCCTAATGTTTCGTCATGCTAACAACGCTCGAGCTAATACAGTTGGAGACATACGAAACCACTATAAAATCAAGAGCCTGTACGAGCGCCGTCAAATCGCTGATCTCGCTTTTACTTAAAAATGGCTAATGGTTTAATTGATGCACAGGACATACAAAGTTGCTTTGAGTTTGTGCCCACCAATTTAACCCTGAGATGCCACCGTCTGTTGAAAACGACCAGATCAACTAAAAATTATGTGATCAATGGACCTCAGAACCGGATTTCTACACTTGTAAACTCGTTGCATGACCAAGTGGACTTCTATAGTGGAACCTTCTATAACTTTATAACTACTATCAAGAATATTATATTTACGTATTGCTGAATACTCTCCATGTTAAACATCAATGATCTTGCTTTTCATTTTCATTATCGTTCTTTATGCATATCGCAAATTTAACTAAAATCTCACTAAAATTCAATTATATTAATATCTAAATCTCTATTTTTCTTCCTTACACTTAAACTTATACTGTTAATATGTATAATGCTGTATATTGCCGATTGGCGTTTATATTTAAATAAATAAATAAATAAATAATGACAATATAGTGATTCCAATATAAAAAAGTCTTTGATTCCCAGAATTGATCCTTGATCATCAAATATTTTAGTGAGCTTGTTCTGTACTCTGAGCAGTAAGTTTATGGTTGTCTTGTAACAACCACCCCATGCACAAATGCCGTAGTGTACAATACTTTCAAAAAGAGTATGGTAAATAGTTTTCAAGGCTTTCTTGTCTAATATATTTTTTAATTTATAGAAGATATATGTGAAATATTTAATTTTTTTTACAACATTTGTTACATGGACATCCCACCTCATATTATGATCAAAAATAAATCCTAGATATTTACAGCTACTAACTTTAATAATTTCTTTGTTGTATATTTTTAATTCGAACAATTTTGGAATACTACTTTCATTGCAACAAAAGTAATATAGGTTGTTTTATCTACATTTAGTGTTAAACGATTCATGCGTAACCAATTTCCTACAGTATCTAACATGGAGGACATCTTGCTCTGAACAGTAGACCAAGATTCTCCAGTACATTTTATTACTGTGTCATCTACAAATGCAGCTAAACTTTTATTTGGTAGTATTTGGAAAATATCATTAATATATAATATAAATAAAAGAGGTCCTAGTACAGTGCCTTGCTGTACACCAATTTTAACTATCGTCTTTTTACTTCTAATTTTATTTATTCTGACTTCTTGTGCTCTATTTGTTAAATATTTTTTTATTAATTCATGCGAGATACCTCTGACACCATATTTATATAATTTATCAAGAAGTATTTTGTGATCGACCGTATCGAATGCTTTGGTTAGATCTAGGAAGGTAATTACTGTAGATTATTTTTATCTAAGTTAGTATAGATATAATCAGTTATCGATATTGAAGCATCTTTAGTTCCTTTCTTTTTTATGAAACCGTATTGCTCTTCATTAATAATATTACATTCACAAATAAAATTATAAAGTCTTTTATGTATCACCTCTTCAAAAGTTTTAGCTAAGTTTGAGATGAGTGAAATCGGTCTATTATTATTCATATGATATTTCTCTCCTGCTGTAAAAATAGGAATAATTTCAGCACATTTAAGTGCATCTGTAAATTCGCCGAATACATATATGATGTTTAGAATATATGCAAAATATATCTAAAAATATATTCCGAAAAAAAAAAATACTATATATACTTATTGATAATTAGACATATACTATGTATGTATCCCAGACATACATACAGAATATATCCAAAAATATATCCTAGGGAAAAAATTTTATATACACTTGCTGATAATTAGACATATATGATGAATATATCTCAGACCTATATGCAGAATATATCCAAAAATATATCCTGAAGAAAAAATTTTATATACACTTACTGATAATTAGACATATATGATGGATATATCCCGAACATATATGCAGACTATATCCAAAAATATATCCTGAAGAAAAAATTTTATATACACTTACTGATAATTAGACATATATGATGAATATATCTCAGACATATATGCAAAATATATCCAAAAATATATCCTGACATAAAAATTTTATATACACTTGCTGATAATTAGACATATATGATGAATATATCCCAGACATATATGCAGAATATATTCAAAAATATTTCCTGAAGAAAAAATTTATTTATCCATATTTACTGATAACTCAATGTCTGTGATAGATGTACTTTGAATATATATGAGATCGTTTATTTATATATAAATAGTGCGTATATGCAAGATGTATCTATAAATATATATAAAAAAAAATATTTCTGTATACTTGAGGAAGAATTATTATACAGAATAGGAGACAGATACATAGGATACATCTGGAGATAGGTTTAAAACATCATATTTTGTGTATATTATATCAATATTAAAAATATTCTTATATTTTTATGGAAAATTGTTATCAAGTATTATAAAATTGCATGTTATTTAAAGTTATACGTAAAGTAAGATTCTACAGTAAAAAATGAATTTTATCCTTTGTCCACTTATAAATAATTAAAATTAAAGTTTGAAACGTTACTAAAGTTTTATATTGTTATTTAAAAAAAGATTAATCTTAATTGTTTCTTATGATAAATAAATATTCAATGTTTTTTTTTTTATTTTTTTCTTCATCCTTCAATTTTCTTCTTGACCTTGAGAGTTATTTTTCTTTCCCTGGAATTAAAATATCAGGCGATGAATCACAAAAAAATATTTATCAATTTATGAAAATACTTAAATTAATTTACCTCATTTTTTCTTTTTTTTTCCCTCTTTTTATTAAGCCTATCATTAATTACTTTTGCCAAAATCTCCATCTCTGAATTGTTTAGGAAAATATTCTTTCAGAGTTGCTAGAAATTTACAAAAAAAAATATGCCTGTAAAATAAAACTAGTTGAAACAATATTTAACAATGAATGGAAATGAACTCACTTTTAATTACATCAAGTTTTGCAGAATCAAGCGCTTTTAACTGAATCGGGTTATCGCTTTTTATTTTTGGCTTGCCACTTTTATAGTTACTAGCCAATAATAGATATTTATGTCATAAGGCCGTCACAAACATTAAAGCGAATATCGAAAAAAAGTCGTTGTCAAAATCGCCACTAAACGGCCGAATGACATACAATATTTTTTGTTATTATCGCTCCATAAGTTTAATTTTTGAGGGATAGGAGGCAAATAATGACATATTTAAATTTTAGGAAGTTTCACAAGGCCAAAAAAAATTAATTTTATATTAATTATCTTTTTATTAATCTTAAAATCTTGCTTACGTCCAGAAAATGTAAATAATGTTTTATTAGTATTTATTTATGGCGTTGTTGTTATTTTATTAACATTAGGTCCGCTTCGTAATAAACTGCCAGCAGACAAATAATAAGCGCCACTCAATAGTAACTAAGACTAAAAATTATCGGTCGATACGCTAGAATGTGACTTTTTTTTTACAATGTCTCTCAATTTTGTCTGGGTGTACATGAAAAGTTCGTAAAAAAAGGAGGGGGTAAAACTTCACGGCCTAGGCCGTGAAAAAGAGACGGTATGGTAGAGTCTCTAGAAAAGAGTCCCTTTACGGACGCCACCCAGCGCTCAGAAGTTGAACTTCTGGAGCGAGTATAACAAAAAGTTTCCTCATCGAATAATGATGTTAACAAAGAATTTAACATTGCTGCCCAAGTGTCTTTAGATTTAGCTGCTGCCCATTGAGTTTTAGTTATGAAAATTCCACTCCCTGGTACACCAAGCTCTTTCTGGGAGAAAAAAAAATATTAAATACGTATTTTAATGAAGTAATAATAACTTATTTCCACTTAGTCATGTGCAGAAAAACTAAATTTCTTTTGTCTTGGAAAAAAAATTACACTATTAAATTAATAAAAGTGCACTAATATTATTTTCATAATTTTAATTATCGTATTTTGACATTTTTTTTCGAAATAAATCAGTATTTTTTTCGTTATGAGTTATGACAGATATACTTTAAGTAAATTTAATTCTAACAATTATCTATGTTTTAAAAGATTTCAAAATTTCAAAATTAAAATTTTGATTTATTTTAAGTTTAGCTGAAAAATAAAATATATTATAAATTATAATGAAGTTTACAATAATTTATACCATTTTTTCTCCTGATTGCGTATCAACTGATGGTGATTTGGCTGTGGACTTGGTACTTGATCTTTCGGTGTTAGCTGAACTTGTAGAGGGCCTGTTAAATAGTTCTTGCAGTGTTTTTTGAATGTTTTCGTGATAAACATCTAAAGCTGTAAAAATTTACGTACATGATCATATAAAGACAATACATACAGTATATAAATGGTATTTAAATTATTTTTGCAAGATGTGTGATTATAAAAGTACCTTCTTTAAGCATTTTTTTTGTAACATATTGTCCTGCTTGATTACTTGGTGGTGTTACTTGCTCAGACGTTTTTGATGAAGCTACATTTAATTTATCCGTGTTGGTTTCAACGGAAGAAATGGGATCCGTTTTATTATTAACGTTATGGCCTCAGTCTCTTTAAGAGTCGAATCTTTCAATTTTCCCTAAATATTTTCAATGAATCAGTTAATTGTGCAATGAATTAAAAAAATTTTACAATCATATAATAAAAGCTACTATTATCTGAAAATTATAAAAGTACAGCACTTATTACCCTGGCGGTTTCGGCGGCACGGTGAAAGTACGGTCGCTTGACGGTTGTTTCACGGTCGTTTCACCATATAAAGTTCGTTCTTACCGAGCGATCTGTCAGTCAGCATCGGATACCGTTGTGAACGATATCTACTATTGATTTATTGAATATATACGGTGTATACGCAAGTGAATCTACGATGTTATGACCGACACCGTACGCTCAATATACTGTCGAAATACGGTGATTTTACGCTACTGTCACCGGCAATAAAATAAAAAAAAATACTTCGGACAGTCTAGAGCGGGACTCGAACCCGGTTCATCTGTTCGCGCGCCCGAAACTTTACCAGTTAGGCTATCTGCGATGATGCACGAAATATTCGATTCAGTGACATGATAAGTTGTCGAAACCAAGTCATTTTTTTCATTGTACAGATAAAAATAGCTTAAATAAAGTTATATTTTTTCCATGACTTCAAAATAATAATCGTAATAAATGATTCAAATTTTTGATGATTACGAAATTCTTGATTTCGAAATTATTAACTGTATAAAAAAAGATCTGTAAAAGAAATTGCTAAAAATTTAATTTAAAAAAAAATATCTCATTATAATTTTTCTTGATAACAAACAATTTTTCCGTAATTTCGAAATTAAAGTTTTCGTCTCAAAAAAAAAAAAAACTCAAATCTTTAATAATGGGTTCAAATTTTGGAATTACGGTGAAAATATTTGACGTGTAGAAAATATGTTTATAGTTAAGTTGAAATTAAATTATAATTTATTAATTAATTGTTGAATAAAATATCTCCTGAAAAAAAAAAAAAAAAAAAAAACAATGTTGATTACTATATTTTTCATAATCAAAAAGTATTATAGTTTCTCATTTAAGACTATGAAAAAAATTCAACACTTGTAAGCCATAAACTCTTCTGAAAAGTAATGAAATGATGGATCTCTGTTGATTGCCTCTAGTCTGATTAATTTTTTATGGTTTTACTTTGAAATAAACAAAATTACAATAATTTAATATTTTTTTCAAATTTTTCATCCCGATTATTTATTGAAAATTTCTCATTTACCTATCTACTTATACACTTTGAGTATTTTTAATGAAATAAAAAAAAATAAAATATTGTCAGCACTTTTTCATCATTGACTAGTAAAACATTCCTGACTTACCGACATTATACGCTCGTTTCACTTACAAACTACTGTGCATCTACCACCAAGTTACGGTTTTTTGACAATTTATATGTTTTCGAATGACTGTCAAATGACAGACAATCGATCGATGATCTACGATTTTTACTTAGGTAAAAAATCGGAGAAGTCAAGTAAAAATTTGGTTTTTAGAAGAGTAAAGTATGATAACTATACAGAATAAAAATCATAAAGTGACAGTGAAAAACTTTCACAATGATACTCGTCGTTCACTGTCAAATGACGGCCGTTCGATAGTCAAGTGACAGTCATTCGACGATCATTTGTCGACACTGTGAATTCACGGTACATTCACTGTCGTTTCACGATCATTTTACCGTGACCACGAATCCGCCAGGGTAGATAAAAAAGAAAAATTTTTGTTAAATCTTACACAAATTGTTTATCATACAGTTATTATTAAAAAAATTAAAAAGAAGCGAAAGATCAAATGAAAATGGAGAAGTGTGTAGTATTTCAGAATGCAAAGCAATAACAGTATTGTAATATTTTGATGACTTATCACAAATAATAAATTTTTCATTTCTGAAATAATTATTTGGACAAAATAGAATGTTTTTTTATACCATTTTGCTCACTTGAGTCTTAAATAAATAGAAGTGTTAAAAATTTTATCATATATACGTTTAAGTTGCAAACTGTTTTAAGTTCTCAATTTCTATAATATTTAAATTTATAAATTTTAAATTAGTTTTACGAATAAGCGGTGAGTTTTAATATTTATTTCATTTTCATTAGGACAATTTGTGGAAAGATATTAAACTGAAAAAATTCGATATTTTTATGTTAATTTTATCTATAAATCTATTATTGATATACTTTGAATTAGATTATAAGACTATTAACTACAGTTAAGTACGAAAAATACACATATAATGTTGTAATTGATCTTTAATAAACATTAATTGTTTATCTGAATTAATAACATTGAAATTTTATACTTTAAATTTTTCTTTATCTTTATTAGTTTCCAAATTTTTTTGAATTTAATTTTATTTTACCTTGTCGATATATAAGTTATAAACAAATTATTCAAATGCATTTTTATGCAATGTTATGTACTCACAGAAATTATTTTTCTTGTAAAAACTGTTTATACTTTGTATATAATAGAAATTGCCATTTGGCCTGTGCCTTGGCATCAATAAACAAAATCTAAAATCTCATTGTGATAAAAAATACGAATATTAAATAATTTAAAATTTACATCAATTTTTTGAATCTTATTGAAAAATTTTAACCCAAAAAACCTTTCACGATCAATACTAAGCTTTAGATAATAATATTTTAACTTTTTTATAATACTTACGTATACAGACACAGATTTATTATATTATTTTTAATAGTGTGAAAAAAATATAACTAGGTCAATAAAAAATTAATTATTGCATTAAAAAAAAAAAACGGTTAAAAAATAATTTCTGTATAAACAAATTACTATCTTAAAAAGCAAAATTTAAAACATTAACATTTTTTCTTCTTTTATTATTTCTCTACCTTTTCAAATAATTAATTACCTCTTTGTCCAAATTATGACCTAATGTAATTTTCCTTATTTTTGATGCGCGAGAACCTTCAGGTAAATCTCCTGAATCTTTATATGATACTTCTTTAGTCATCAACTCTAACTCCTTATCATAATCGATCGAGTTGCTTTTTTCAAGCAAATGAACATCGGAGGTATGAAAATTATCAATATCGCTTTCATTGTCACTTAGCGAGTCCATCTCGATTGGTTGTGAAGTTTTTGGTCCTGGAGATGCTATACCATTTATTAATTTCAGCTTTTTCTCCAAGCTTACTTTCGATGCTAAGTAAACAAATCAACAGACATTAATTGATTAATCAAACTTTTACGCACAAAAATATTTTTTATTGTATCACTTTCAATAATTGTCATATTAAATTATACCTTGTAATTATTATTGGGATTTATTGAAAATCTATTAAATTTTTTAATCAAGTGACTTAACTAGGCACTACTTATGGAATTTGTTTCATTTTAATTTTTCGAACTCGACATTCAGTAACAAATGTGATTTTTGATATTCACCCACACTCGTATAGAATTTTTTTTTGTTTTTCATAATTAAATAAATAATACATTACCTGAAATACTTATCACTAAACCATGATAACAAGGCCAACTTCCAAGAGGTTCTTTCGTCTTCGGGGTACGCCATTCAATAACATAAACTTTTTCAGGATCTGAATTATCTAGCAGATGCTTCGCCTAGTAAACACATTTACGTCAATGTGACGTCAAAATGACATTGGGCTATGTCAGGATTTACGTAAGATATGTCACGAATGAGTCATATGTGACTCATTATTTCACACTTACTGACGTAAGATTCTGACGTAAAAATATGACGTAGTCATGACGTCAGTATTATGTCTTCATGACATTTATGACGTCAATATGACGTACCTGTGATGTCTATATCATGATAATGATGTCATTATGACGTAAAAGTGATGTAAAAATTGTACCTCAGAAAAAGTATTTAAAAAAAAATTTCTCAAAAATAAAAAAATTGCAATTTTGAAATCAATTATAGTATTGTGGACTTAATACAAGCTTTGAAACACTAGACATATGTAAATACTTGATGGAAAAATCTTGAGGTACGCTGGGTTCGAACTCGGGTCCTCACGTGTCGAGGTCTGGAACGCTGCTCACTTGTCCAAGTAACGATTCGTGTCACCTAATGACTAACTTATGTGTTAATCCTTACATGACGAAAGAGACTTATTTCATAATTTTTTCTGAGATTAAATGGATTTTAAGAGCTAGAACCGTATACAATTCAAATCTAATAATTTATACAATTTCATAAAATTTCATTAAAACTCATGAAATTTTATAAAATTCTATAAAACTTTGTAAAAACTCTTATTAAAGGCTCGCTACTGAAACTTGCGATAATGAATAGGCAATTTATAAATTTTTATAAAAATTGATTTAATCTTACATTTTCAAAAATTTTCGTGTAAAAGCGGACACAGAACTTTACATGGTTGAGCGAAATTTTTTCAGACTAAACGATATATCCGTGTCACTTGAATATTTTTTAATACTTATTTGATTTCTCAAGACTCGAATTTTTTTCTTTTTTTTAAATAATTTTTTCCATAAGTTTAGTATTTTTTATTTGAATTTTTCTTCTTCAAAATTTCAATTTACGAAATTTAGATTTTTTTTTTTAAATTGAAACTCTTTTAAGAATAACATTTTTTTAATCTATATTTCTTTTTAATTTCAATTTTTTTCGAAATTTGAATTTCTTTTATTTAACACACTAACAACATTATGAAACTTGATATAAAATACTATTAGTCTCGTCAATGACAATCATGGAACTGATTGAATTATTTCTAATACAATAAGTTTCATAAATAGCAGCACTAATGTCAGAAAATTATTTTTCAAGTAATAGTGCAATATTTAAATGACTGACATTTAATTTCTTGACGCAAAATCATAAGAAATTGTACGTTTACTCGCTTAA